TATTTCACTGTGAGTTACTCATCATATACGCTTTCTACACATTAGGCATTCCTCTACCCACAATCCTATTCAGCAACAGACTGTGGAAGGCATTTCCCTCCAGACGAACCTACTCGTTTCCATATTTGGCTCTCACAGTCACTTGATGCTAGAATGGGCAACTGAATCTGCCACTCTTATTCTAAAATATCCATCTCAGGTAGAAGTTTTTAGTATAAGGAAAGCCAATCTCCTGTTAGAATAAAAAATTTAGAGTGTAAAGGAAACAGACAGGAGGCCTAGAATCTTGATTTACGGTTGTGAACAGAAACAGATCAAAGATAACATCAGCCCTGCCTGGGTGGCTCAGTTGGTTGGAGCACCAAAAGGTTGCAGGTTCAATGCAAGGTCATGGTACACACCTAGGTTGTGGGTTTGATCCCCAGTCAGGGCAAGTACGGGAGGCAACCAATTGATTTTTCTCTCTCACATCAATGTTTCTTTCTCTTTCTCCCTCTCCCCTTCCCCCTCCATCTGAAATCAATAAACATATTCTTGGGTGAGAATTTTAAAAATAAAATAAAGATAACATCTAATGGTTGCTAAAGGTAGATGGTGACAGGGCAAAAAAAAAATTAAAAAGTGCCCTGTGAGTCCTGATACTCAAGCACCTAACACAATACACAACAGACCCGTATGAGACACTCAATACATATTTGCTGAGTAAATAAGTAATTGAAGAGCTAGATGAATTAATGGCTGAAATGTGGTATAATAAAGAGAATACTGGGGCCCCGGCTGGGTAGCTCAGTTGCTTAGAGTATTGTCTCTGATACGCAAGGTTGCAGGTTCAATCTCCAGTCAGGGCACATACAAGAAGCAACCAGTGAATGCATAAATCAGTGGTACAACAAATTAATCTTTCTCCTTCTCCTCTTCTCTCTTTAAAAATCAATTTAAAAGGAAACAAAACAAAAAAAATATTGGGTTAGTAACCTAAAGACCTGAGTTCCTAATTCGATGCTCTCTTACAGTTGTGTGACTTCTGGTGAGACATTTCTCTCTTAATCTCCATTTTCCTATATGTAAAACTGTGGGAAAATAATACCTACTCTGACTACCTCATAGATTGTGTAAGGATAAAACAAAATAAAAATAGAAAATATTTTATAAACTATAAGTGCTAAACAAATAAATATAAGACATAAAAGATAATAAAGGAATTTATACTGAGGTAAAAAGATAATGATGCTAGATTGTATCTTGGGAGAAACAGTGGACACCAAGGGGGAGGTTTTAATGGTTCCAACTCCCTAGAACACTTTTTAAACAAAGAGGATTCGTGTGCGGGGGGATTTGTGAGTTAGAAGTTCATATACACACAAGTATTTAAAAAATAACTAAGGTCTGATGATTGTTACTGCCATTGTTCATAGACCATTTCTCTACTAAGTGAACAGTGATGGGGACCAGGAGAATGAGTAAGGTAATGACCAAGCAGGTCATAAAGAGCTACATACCTAGCAAATGCTTATAATTATTTTGATAAAGTGAAGTATGTATTTCAAAGCAGCTTCAGAAACAAAGCAATAACTAATTGCAGTAAGTGTATTAAACAATGCAAAAGCAACCTTACTAAGGAAGTGAGTAGTGAGATATCCACAGAACCATTTTAGGAATCTGACAGATATCATTTAGACCCTAAAAGGTTAAAAGAAAGCTCTGGCTGGTATGGCTCAGTGGATTGAGCATCAGACTGCAAATCAAAAGGTAACAGGTTTGATTCCCAGTCAAGGCCCATGCCTGGGTTGCAGGCCAGATCCCTGGTTGGGGCGTGCAAGAGACACCAACTGATGTTATTCTCCCTCTCTTTCTCTCTCCCTTCCCCACTCTCTAAAAAATAAATAAAATCTAAAAACAACAAAAAAAAAGTTGAGAGAGGAAAAAAAATCCCTGAAACATAAACAGAATCACAGTTAAAAATCTAGCTCTACTAAAAAAGTAAAATTACCTGTGTGTAGATATGGTCTTAACTGCAGAAAATCCTAAAGATTCCACAAGAAAACCTGTTAGAACTATTAAATGAATTCAGCAAAACTACAGGACAAAAATCAGTATCCTCAAATCAGCTGTATGTCTACTCTACACTAACAATGAGCAATCAAAAAAATTTTTAAGAAAACAATTCCAGCCCTGGCTGGTGTAGCTCAATGGATTGAGTGTTGGCCTGAGAACCAAAGGATCACAGTTCGATAGTCAGGGCACATGCCTGGGTTGCAGGCCAGTTCCTGGCAGGGGACGCATGAGAGGCAACCATACATTGATATTTCTCTCCCTCTCTCCTTCCCTTCCCCTCTAAAGATAAATTTTTTAAAAATTCCATTTACATCAAAAAGAACAAAACAGTTATTAGGACTAAACTTAAACCAAGGAAGCAAAAATGCTTGTACTCTGAAAACTACAAAACGCTGATGAAAGAGATGAAAGACAATACAAATAAATGGAAAAACATCTGTATTCCTGGGTTGGTTAGTATGTCAAGAATGCACAAAGCAATCTATAGATCTGATATGACCTTATCAAAATCCCAATCACATTTTTGCAAAAATAAAAAATACACCCTAAAATTCATATGGAATTTCAAGGGACCCCAAATACCCAAAATAATCTTGAAAAAGACCACAGTTGAAGAACTCACATTTCCTGATTTCAAAACTTACTACAAAGTAAAAATAATCAAAACTGTTGTGCTAGTGAAAGACAGACATACAGACCAATTGAATAGAGTAGAGACCCAGAAATAAAGCCTCAGGTACATGGTCAAATGGTTTTCAACAAGGGTGCCAAGACCATTCAGTAGGAAAGAACAGTGTTTTCAACAAAGAGTGCTACAAAAACAGGACAGCCACATGTAAAAACAATGCAGTTGGACCCTTACTTTACTACACACACACAAAAAAAAAACAAAAATGCATCTCCTCAGCATCCACCTGATGTGATGCGGTGGTACTGTCACTGCCAATGACCAGCACTGAGACCATGTGACAAACATGGAGAGATGCTTCTGAGAAAGTAAAATAGCAGGAAACACAAAAATGTACATACATTTTCATTACACCTAGGTAAAGCATTTAAAACAGCTGGTAGAAAATATGCACCACAATAATAAAAACTTTGGTAAAGTAGTCAAATTATGGACTGCCTTTCTTTTGTTTTATATTTCAATGAGGTTATATAGTGGATTCCCTCTCTAAATCAAGTCTTCAAATCTCTATAAAGAAACACTAACATCAAGAAATAAAGGCATGACAAACAAACAAACAAACAAAAAAAAAAAAAGGAAGAAAGAAAAGGCATGAGCCCTGGCCATATGGCTCAATTGGCTGGCACGTCATTCTGTGCACTGAAAGGCTGCAGGTCTGGTCCCCAGTCTGTGTACGCACTGGAGGCAACCAGTTGATGTTCCTCTCTCATATCAGTATTTTTCTCTCTCCCTCCCCCTCTCTCTAAAATCAATGGAAACATGTTCTTGAGTGAGGATTAAAAAAAGAGAAGAAGAAATAATAAAGGTTTGTAAGGCTAAGTCCTACTTTCAGAATAAAGCAATAGCCCGGGCTGGTGTCATTCAGTGGACTGAGCACTGGCCTGCAGACCAAAAGGCTGCCAGTTCAATTTCCAATCAGGGCACATGCCTAGGCTGCAGGCCAGGTCCCCAGTTGGGGGCACGCGAGAGGCTACTAATAGAGTTTCTCTCACACATCCCGATGTTTCTCTCCCTCCTTTCCCCTCTCTGAAAATAAAAATCTTAAGAAAATAAATAAATAAAGCGCCAGTATGGCCTGCAGTTGGGTGGGTGTCATCCAGCAAAGCAAAAGGGTTATGGGTTCTGTCCCAGGGCACATGAGAGACACACTGTCATCAAAGATCAGAACAATCCCATTTTGAAAATTAACCCAATCCCATTTTGAACTTAGCCCGAAGTCACATGACTAGTAAGTAGCACAGAAGGGCCTCAAACCTAAGTCTGATGGACTCCAAGCCAAAGCGTGAGGTAGCTGTGGGATAATAGTTAGAGATGTGGAAGTCACCAAGGCAGCTACAGTCCTAGAAAGGATATGATCACCCAGGGGGAGAATACACAGATCAATAAATTGTTATTCACATACTTGGCTGATCCTTACAGTGTTAAAACAGGCCTTTTCACCCATAAAATGGAGATCATATATAATTTGCAGATAGTGCCCACTGAGGGCAAGGACTTCATCACAATTTTTGTATTGCTAGGTTTGCAGTGCCTGGGACATGCGGACTGCAACAAAGATCTGCTGAAGCTTTAAATTAAATAAAACCAAACCTCAAAATTTAACTGCCCACAATTAGAAAAATACTATACAACATGAGAACCACGATTTTCTGACCAAAGCATAGCATAATTTTTTTCCCATTTCCTCTGTGGAGTGTGTGAAAAAGAACAAATGCACTGTTTTCCTGCCCCACAGTGTATTTCCTGAATTCTTCTGCTATAAACAGTAGAAGATAGCAGAAAGAACTCAGTGAGACAAGACACTCTTATCCAAAGAAAATAATAAGATACGTGGCCAAAATTGAGGATGGAGATAATAAAAAATAACAGAAAAATTATTAAATAAAACATCATACAGCCATAGGGCACAATACCATATGCTGCTCTTAAATCAAGTTTTTGAACAACACTGAAGGATACTAGAAAATGCTTTTGATAAGGATAATGAAAAGAGTAGGATATAAACCATACCTAGTATGACCATAACTTTGTGTTTATATGTATATGTAGTATCATGCGTATATGTGTGTATATTAATTATTACCTAGAAAAAAGATTAGAATATACCAAAAATACCGTAAGAGTTTCCCTGGGTAGAAAGATTACAGGAGATCCTAATATTCTTCAGGTTTCTCAGTATTTCTAACATATCTGGAAAGAGTACATTTTCATTTTAAAACAAAAAACATCTGATAAACAAAAGCAAGACAGCACTCACTTTCTTTCTTTTTCTAGAATTCTTCGTGGGGTCAGGCTTCTCAAACTCTGCTGACTTTGCCTCTTCCTTCTCCTCATCTTCATCAGGTATCAGAGAGTATTTGGTCCCACCTGGCTGCATGAAACAATCCTTTGCAAAGTGGCCTGCAGAAGGGAAGCAGAAAAGGTAGAGAGGGAAGAATCAGTCTTTGCTCTCAGCAGGTGGATCTTCCCCAGAGGCTCCTGGAAGGGGCTAGCTGGTTCAGCAGCTGTTACTGAGTTCGTTCAGAGCAGCTTTTGGATTCAGAGTAGATTTTCTGTCACCTCAAGAAAGCACTGCTCACTCAACCACAGCCTGACTAGCAGCTGGTCCTAAAGCTGTGAGAAACACTGGTGCTGCTTTGGAAATGGCAGAGGATGTGAGGATGCAAGCTGGTGCTGCCCTCTATTAGCAATGGAGCTTAGCAATTTCTAAAGATGTATTTGGAACTTACTCCTGACAACAAAAGGCTGCTGCTCCAGAGAGCAGAATGCTTAACAGAGGGAGCCAAGTGGCAGGCCAAGGCCCTGAAGGAAGACAGCTCTGGGGCAGCTGGCAGGAAGGCAGCATCCAAGCTAGCACACAGAGAGACAGGCACAGTCACCTAGGGGCACTCACCATTCACAGACTGTCAGGTCTGGCAAGAGCCCTAGAGCTCATCAAAGCCAACATTGCATTTGCAGAGAATATGAAGGCCCAGAGTAGAGAAGTAGCTCAAGGTCACACAGTAGCAGAGCTAAAACTTACCTGGGGTCTTGTGCCTCCCTGCCCTGCGCCCTTTCTGTTGCGCCAAAACCAACCAACTTCAGCCCAGCCTTTGCTGACCGGGCTAAATTCCATCTCCCATTCCTATTCTCTGCCTCATATAACACCCAGTGGACATAAGTTAAAGGTAAGAAGACCCCACCCTCCCTGAGGTTACAGTGCTGTCAAAGGCCCCTTTAACAGATGCTACACAGCTGCTTTTGTCTGAGCTTGCTGTAGATCCTATCTCAGGGATACAGAGAACTGGATACGATCGTCAAAAATAATACACAGGCCCTGGCTGGTATAGCTCAGTAGATTGAGCGCATGCCTGAGAACCAAAGCATGGCTGGTTCAATTCCCAGTCAGGGCACATGCCTGGGTTGCAGGTCATATCCCCAGTATAAGGTGTGCTGGAGGCAACCACACATTGATGTTTCACTGCCTCTCTTTCTCCCTCCCTTCCTCATCTCTCTAAAATAAATAAATAAAATATTTTTAAAAGAATTAAGAAAAACAAAAACAATACGTAAACTACTTTGTAACTGAAACCAGAAGCTGGATGGTGCCTGGAAGAGAAATACAGCATAAAATTTTCCAAATACATGGAAAGCTCCCACAATTCTCCCGAGGAGGTATTTGTCCTCTCAATTTTACTTTCCCTTCCTCCCTCTACATTAATGGTAAGTAGGGGCTTAACTCCCGCAACCTCCGCCACGGCACAAAGGATGCTACCAGTCATTGCAGAAAAATCAACAAGGCTAGGCAGACGGAAGGCTCGGGAGAAGCGGTAACAAATTGAGGTCACTCTGAAAACGAGAAGTTGGCAATCCCTCTGAGTACAGCTCCAACAAGGAAGTCAGGCTGAAAGAGCTCTTTAATATTTGAGTAAGACTGGAGGAAACCTGAGGAAACAGAGCTAAAAGGAAATGACCAGCGAGTGTTCTTTACTACAAGGATATTGTATTAGAAACTGTGAAGTTAAAGAGATGCGCAAGAAAGGGTTTAACCTGGATCCTTAAAGAATGTATTTTTAGTTGCTTAATTCTTGCAGCAGACTACAATGGTCCTTGGAGATAAAATTTAGAGTGTTAAATAATCATAATCCAACACTCTTACATCCCTGGCATAGTGCCTGGGGCCTTGCCCGGACAGGGCATCAGCTGCAGAAGCAGGGAGAGGTGGTGATAATATATATACCAGGGCCAGCAGCAGAGTGAGCATTCAGAAAAAGAAAAAGTAGCAAGCCGTGAACTCTGACAGAAGTCTAGTTGGAATACCAGCATGAACAAATGAGGCCGTCACTTGGCTCAAAAACAGGGTGAATCAAACTCACTAGGCTGCTCATCCAGTACAAGGAGAGAAAAGACCGAAACAGCAGAGGCTTCGCCCTACCTTTACAGCCACACTTCTTGCAGGTAGTGTTCAGGACAGCCTCGAGGGTAATCTTCTGCCCAGTGTAATCCTGGAAGGACCGTCTCCGCCTCTCTTCTTGCCTGTAACGAAAAGTATACTGTGTCTCTTGGCTCTGTGAAGAGGTGTGGCCAGAGATACTACAAGGTCATGCTGTATGTTGGTTTTTTGTTTTGCGTTTGGCAAGTAGAAGGAAGAAAGAAGGCAAACCATCGGGCATAAGAAGATACGCAGTAAAAGCAATAGCATGAAATAAGAGTTTTTTTTATTCAAGACAGGCTCTGAATTAGTAAGTATGAATGAAACTAGACTTCATCCCACTGGTGCATAGAGGATGAGGACATAATTTACTCACCATGCTAAGTCTCCTACGACCCTTACAACAGGGGTATCCGAACTCATTTTCACTCAGGGCCACATCAGCCTCGCAGTTGCCTTCAAAGGGCCAAATGTAATTTCAAGTCTTTAACCGTTAAGGAGTACTTTCATTTATACAGTCCTAAAATTATTTCAGCCCTTTGAAGGCAACCATGAGGCTGATGTGGCCCCCGGTGAAAATGAGTTTGACATCCCCCGCCTTACAAGGTCACTCGTGGGTTGAAAAGACCTTCAAAGACTTTCCAGAAAATCAAGTCCAAATTCCTGATCTTGACATTCTGCCTTTAGCCTACTTTTCCAGCCTCATTTCTACCTGTACAATATGCTCTAGCCAAACCACACTATTTCACCTTCTCCAGATGGTTCGCTGCTTCTGCTTGTGCAGTTCTCTCTGAAACGCTCTGCCTCTCCTCCTTACTCCCACCTCCCTACCCCGAACCCCCGAACACTGTAAGGCTCAGCTGAATTACCACCCCTCCTACTACCAAGTGATCTTCCCTGAGCCCTTGAGCCAGAATTCATCTCTTTGTTTCCAATTCCCGCATTTAAAAGTTCTAAGCTTTTGACCAAGAAATAATATACACAAAGAAAAGTGTCCCCAGCATGCGGCTTGTGATTTTCAATGTGAACGCATCCAAGTTGCCAGTACTCAGATGGAGAGACAGAACGTTACCAGCACCTCAGAAGCCCCTCCAGTTACCATGCCTCCCCACCGGAAACCACTGCTCTGATTTCTACCAGCACAGATTAGTTTTACCTATTTTTGTAAATTATATAAATGGAATCATAGGATATGGACCCTTCTGTGTCTGGTTTTTCTTTTTCCCACTTATTTGTGAGCTCCATCCATATTGTTGCGTGTAGTCTGTTCTAATTTGCTGTTGATGTAAAGTATTTAAGTAATTTCTATTATGATCAGTGCTTCTATGGACTTTCTAGCCTGTATTCTGGTGAACATATATATACTACATGCATTTCTATGGGGAAACGCCCAGCTCCTGGCAGCAGTGGAACTGTTAGGTTGTGGGCATCCGCTCACATATGCAGACACTGCCGGCCAGTCTTCCACTGTGTACTTAACAACACACTCCCACCAGCAGAGCCCAAGCACCCCAGTTATCTTAGCTCTTACCTTTTACCTTTACTATATAACACACGATACCTGCACAGAAAAGGTACTCGGGAAATGTTTAATTAATGATTATCGCCTTAGTCACTCTCTTCCAAACTCCAACTCTATCCTGTACCCACTCAGTCTTAGCACATATCACACTTTATTGCACCATATATTTACATTTCTTCTCTAGATTATAAGCACTTTTTGTAATATTTCACTTCTTTGTTTTCTTGGCACCTTCGCCCAAGGCGAGGCAAGCAATGACTATAAATGTTGAAATTCCTTTGCGCTTTACCTAAAATATTTTTTCTTTACCTGAATCTCTTTAACTTTAAACTCTGACTTTACCTAAGATTTTTCCAACCATTCGCTGGGTCTGTATGGAGTCCAACAAAAACAGAGAAATATTCTGTTGAAAGAGTCACATTCTCCAGAGAAATGCAGGATGACAGTACCGAGGCGGAACAAAGCTTAGCCAGCATTTTCATGGGATACGAGGGCTCCATAGAGGCAATGGGGCCGGCAAAGATATCGCATATTCTTGTCCCGGTCACTCTTGAAAGTTCAGCTAAAATGTTATGTCTTCTATAAATGTTACCTTTTACCACCAGCAGAGTTTATAATTCATTTTATTTTGTTAGATTTTTCACTTTGCCTCACCTTCTATGCCGTGTACAGGACTCCAGAGTTAAAGTCTATGCCTTATTCTTCTCCACATCTAAGAAGGGAGCAAGCATACTCTCCAGCACACGGTAACCAACAGGAGGAAGCAATGGAAACAAACGCTCTATAAAGTCACGTCTGTACTACCTACTGTTTCTGTCTGCAGCCAGTAGCTGCACTTCAAATGTGGTTACTGACTGGGGAACTGGATATTGAATTTTATTTACTTTCAATTAATTTACACTTAAATAGCCACATGCAACTAGTTGCTACCTAGTCAGACAATACAGACAAGCATATGATTTAAGTTCTGAAAAAGTCTGCCCAGACCCCTAGCTTTTACCCTAGAAGAATCTTACTCAAGTGACAAGGGTCTGAGGAGTCATGTGAGAGGAGCCTTTCAAAGAGTGAGGCTTCAGCACCAAAAACGAAGGCAAGGGCAGTGGACAGAGAAACAGGAAGTCACTTATCAACAGGCATAAAGTTTAATCAAGATGAGTAAGTTCTATGGGTCTAATATACAACACTGTATCTATAGTCAGCAGTACTCTACTATACACTTAAAAAGCTGTTAAGCACATAGATCTGATGTTGGATTCTCACAACAAGATAAAATTAAAAAAATCGGGCAGGATCTTTGAAGACAGAACTTGAGCAGCCACCAATGCCATGGCTTTCACATGCCCTTATTCGTAGAGCTGCGTTTCGAGTGGCTGTGAGCTGAAGGGTAAACCAGCCCTCGTTACAATCGACTCCAGTATTCTGTGGATTCTAACATACTACCAACCCAGTCACACCTCCCACGTAACCCTCAGTTCAACAAATGTGTCACCACCTATCTCCCTTTCTGTCCCTATTGCCATCGTGCTAGTTTAGGTTTCATTACATTTCTTTTTTTTTTACATTTTAAAAATTTATTGATTTTAGAGACAGGGAAAAGAGAGCACATGCGAGCGCATGTTAGAGAGAGAGAAAGAATAGAGAAACATCGATTTGTCGTTCGTTCCACTTACTGTTGCATTCTTTGGTTGCTTCTTGTATGTACCCTGACCAGGGATCGAATTTGCAAACTTTGTGTATTGGGATGACACTCCAACCCACTGAGCTACCCGGCCAGGGCTTAGGCTTCATTATATTTCAGGTAAACAGTAATAATAACTAGCCCTGGCTGGTGTTATGGCTCAGTGGATTGAGATCGGCCTGAGAACCAAAGGGCTGCCAGTTCAATTCCCAGTCAGGGAGCATGGCTGGGTTGTGATGTAGGTCTCCAATAGGGGGCAATCGAGGGGCAACCACACACTGATATTTCTTTCTCCCTCTTTCTTTCTCCTTCCCCTCTCTCTGGGAAATATAAACAAATAAAACCTTAAAGAAAAGTAATAATACTTTCAATGGTCTGTCTCCAATTTTCCTCCTCCAATCCATCCAACACAAGTAGTTGGATTAATCTTTTTTTTTCCCAGCTCAATTAGTAAGTGGCAAGCACCAGGACTAGTACTAGCAATATGAGTAAGTATATTAAAATGATAGGACCTGGTCCCTTTCCTCAAGGAGCTGACAGTCCAGCAGCAGAGGGAGATACATAAACAGATAGTAATAGTGTGGGGAATCACAGATGGTCTTTCCGAAGACTATACTGTGCTGTCTAACCTAACTGGAAACTGACTTTAGCTCCTTTCCATTCGCAGACTCACCTGTTAGATGACCTCAGTAAGTCCTTGGGGCCTGAGGGAATAAAATCTAAGATAGCTAGATTTTGGTGGAAAATGAAAGCTAACTGACAAACTCCGCGGCTAAAGGCAACATGAAGATACTGAGCATAACAGGGCAGAGCCAGAGAATGGGAGACCTGGAGAGAACAGTCTAATCAGGAGCCTTTCCCACAAAGGCTTTAAGCTTTAAAAAAAAAATTCACACTCTTTGACTGGTATCCAAAGCTCTTCACAATCTGACCCCAACATATCTTTCAAGGTTTACACTCTAGTACTTGACCATATCCTTGCCTTTCCTTAAACAAGGCTCCTGAATGTGTCATGTGCTTTTCTGCCTCATGTCTTTCCTCAAACTATTTCTTCTGCCTGGAAATCGTACCCTTTCCTGGCTAAGGTGCCAGGAAAACAAACATAAGTAAAATACTACAAAAAGGCTCATGAGCTAGAGAAGAAACAAATACACAGAACAACAAAGTGTGATATGTGCTAAGACTGAAGTGTGTATGGGATACAGTCAGGGAAAGGAATGTAGATGGTTAGGACCTCGGTTATCACTAGGTCTTCAAGACCTAGTTCAGATGCCACTTCTCTGATCATTGGGGTCTGAAATCAACTCTTCCTATTCAAGCTAATTCCTAGAATCGCTTTAAAAATTTTTTTAAAGATTTTATTTATTTTTAGAGAAAGGGGAAGGAGAGAGGGTGAGCAACATCAATGTGTGGTTCCTCTCACACGCCCCCTTACTGGGGACCCGGCCCGCAACCCAGGCATGTGCCCTGACTGGGAATCAAACCAGCAACCTTTTGGTTTGCAGGCTGCCACCCAAAGCACTGAGTCACCAGCCAGGGCATAGAATTCTTTCTTTAAACTATTCTTTTAGCATTTATTACATGTTGCCTTATATTAAAGTGATTTGCGTAATTATTTCACTATACTAGGCAGTAAGGTCCTTACAGAAAACTTGGTATTGCCACTGTACCTCAAGTAGATTATGAACCCAATGAACAACTTGCTAAATAAAGGAATAAATGGATGCACTAACTAAATGGCTGCTACACATCAGCCACTAAAGGAAATAAGAAAAATAAGATGCAGCTCCTGTTCTCACGGCCTTATTCATTCATTCAAAAGAAAAGGTATGATAATCTTAGATATTAGAAGAAAAACAAAGAATCATAAAACAGTAACTACAAGTAGCTATTGTAAATTTAGTTCTATTATAGGTTAGACAATAAGCTGGGCTCTTTACAAACAGGATTTTATTTAAATCATTCCATCATTTCTGAGATGTAGGTGTCATCACCCCCATTTTAGAGTGAAGAAGTTAGAAATCAGAGAGACTAGGCAATCTGCTCAAGCTCATATACTACTTTGGGGCAGAATTAGGACTCTTTCTGATTCAAGTCTGACTCTGAAACTTGTCATCATTCCACCACGCCATGCTTCTTTCCTGGATGCAGCTCTAGAAATAGATACAATAAAAGTTACTGGTCAGCCCCTTGGTTATCACTAGAAACAGCATTTCTGTGGAAACACGTCCAGCGTAAACCCAAGGAGCCCCTTTCCTTTCCTACCCTTACTGTTTTGAGAAACAGAAGTAGCTCTTTTTTATCTTACTTGTTTTTACATTTTACCCTTATAAGGGCGGCTTTGAGAAATTTCAGTTTCTTAATATGAGTTAGAATTATTTAGAGAAGCAATTTATTACAAATGCAATCGGTAAAGGCAAGAATTACAGAACATTTCTGAGCTGAGTTATAAAAGAATTCTACTGCAAATGGAAAGTGTTTTGTCAATAATGGCCCTACAAACATGTCAATATTTAGAGACCAAACTATAGAAATATGAAAAACTCTGTAAGTCACATGCAACAGCTAGAAGCATTGTGTGGTGAAAAGGGCATTAGCTTTAATATCAGAGAGACTGCAATTAAAGATCCTAACCTGTGATAATTTGCTATATAATCGCAGGCAAGTAATCACCAAGCATCGAGCTAGAAACGAGAGAAAACACTCAGTCTTCGCAGGTTGTTATGTGTACCAGGGGCACTGGTAATGTACAGAAACTGACTTGCATAATACCTAGCACACAGTATAAGTATTACTTCCCTTCCTTTTAGGTAAAATTCCTTCAAATCCAAAGTGATTTCACTGAGAACAACAAACATAGGGTTTCCAAACTTTTCATCACCAAGATCCCACTCAACATTTTTTCTTGTTTTTTTAAAAATTAATCTATGCCCTGGCTGGTGTAGCTCAGTGGATTGAGCATGGGCCTGCGAACCAGACAATCGCGGTTCAATTCCCAGTCAGGGCACATACCGGGGTTGCAGGCCGGTTCCCTGCAGGCCAGTTCCCAGCAGGGGATGCATGAGAGGCAACCATACACTGATGTTTCTCTCCCTCTCTCCTTCCCTTCCCCTCTAAGGATAAATAAATAAAATCTTTAAAAAAAAATTAATCTATAACATAACTGCCACTGAGAGCACTTGATTAGCACGACATAAATAATGTGATATTTTACCATCCAAAGCAACAAAATAATGTCATGGTTAACCTGAGTATAAATGTATGAATTTGGTTGGCTTTCTCAAATACTGGAAACAGTTCATAAGCCCCAAGACTCCTTTTCAAGGGACTTTAAGGATTGAGAAACCTCTGGTTAGAAATCGCTGGCATATACTCAAGAAATAGTTTGAGACAGATGGCAACTTCCCCATATCTCCAGACATCATTCTATATCAACAGAAAACCTTCCACACCTAAATTAAAGGTCAGAAGAGCCAACAGAAGTTACTGTGCTCAGAATACTGTGCATCCTAAGGGACAGGCATCCAAGCCCCACTGGAGTGGCTCCTAGATCACCCTGCCTTCCTCTCTGGTCTCTACCTTTTTCAGTCCCAGTGCCAGGACAGAAACAAATAACAGATACTTCAGAAATGCTTGCTGGCTAACTGGTTAAAGAGCAGAAACAGAAAGAATAAGGAGAAGAAAACAAACCCAACCATGGAGCACTTCTGTGCTGGAAGCTGTGCTGGAAGATTACATGTTAGAAGTATGTTATCTATAATACTTTATACCTCTAAAAACCAAGAATCATAAAGGTTATACTACTCATCACAGTCTATAAATGGCAGGGTTCCCAATCAGCTTGATTCACTACAGCATTCTACAGTTTGAGAGGCAGAAGATTTTAGCCTTTCCAAACCTTTTACCTACTCAATGATAACGTTGTTGGGGTCAAGGTCTTTTCCAGTCCCTTGGTTGACAACTTTCATGGAGAGGGATACTTTTATCCTATCATTTTTCATCTGAAAAAAGACAAAAGCAAAGTCACCAAAAGTTCACAGTATATTATTTAGACTTCTGGTCTAGACCGATATAAGAATCAAAGTTTCTGTCATCATAACAAACACTGAACTCCTCTAATGGCCAAGGTCCTATGCTAAGAGTGTTGGTGATAATAATAGGCAGATAATAGCATCATAGGTAGATCCTGTGGTGGAAGAATTTTAGGAAACAGTTTTTATTTCATTCTTGTTCCTCTTGGGGGGGGAGACAAAAATAGCTGCTCGGAAATCCAAGGCCTGTCGAGGTAACGCAGCAGCAAAGAAAAGCTGTTTCCTGTAGGTGAGTCCAGGAAAATAACCAATGCCGAGATCCATGAACCCAGAATGGGTCTCAGAACACCCCAGTGGACCGGATCTCCTTTAGGACTTAGTCTAGAGCTTCTATAAACATGAACACAATTGTTAGCCACATTGGTCTTTTTTTTTTTTGCTTCCTCAAGCACTTGAAGCCCTTCACTTCAGGGTTTTGTGCCAGCTATTTTCTTTTCCTAGAATATTCTTATCCCAACTTTTCATGACCGCCTCCTTTTACTTTGGGTCTCAGCTCATATACCATCTGCTCATAAAGCCTGTTCCTGACCACATTATCTCAATTGACCGCTCATACTATCTGGACCCATTATAGCACTTAGCATGATTTGTAATCAGTTTTAATTTGTTTACTTTTTTTTTGTCTCCTCCAGTTATATTCTACATAAGTTCTGTAACAGCTGGGGTCACTTATGTCTGGTTCACTCTTGTATCCCTCAGACCCAACACATATTAAACACTCAAACACTGTTGAATAATCTCTCTCGGGCCTGTCTCCCCCACCCTGGTAGTTCTTCTCCCCTGGTAGAAGAGCAGGCCTCGTGCACGTTCGTATTTCTGCTGTGGTCTACCCACCCACCCATGGCCCACGTGCCCTCACATGAGCTGTTAACAGGGTCCTTCAGAGCTTTCTCACTCCCCTCCAGTGGCACGGTGCCAGGTATTAGGAAAAATGACTGTAAACTCTATGTTCTTTTTGTTTTGGTTCAAATTGAAGTGTACCTGGCAAGAATTCTTTAAAGTTTGTGATAGAGACTATTAAAGCCTAGACTAAGATTAAAGCCATAGATTAAGTTTCCTTCTTTCCTTTCAGTTCTTCACATCCACCATTTGGGGAAACTTCAGGGAGGGACGTTTTATAAACACGCACTTGTTGTACCACACTTACTGTAGTTCACACCATCCTGGCTGAGTTTGCAGTAGGTCCAGACAGAAGGTTTAAATTCAGGTCAGATTATGGTGGCAGGTCAAAATGAGCTGCTCAAAATGAGATTCTCAGCCATAGTTAACAACATATATACATGCACTATTGTGAAATACCAAGAAAATCCCAGCTTTTCTTAATCCTTTCTAACCGGATAAAAAAGTTGCATAGAAGTTTACCTCTCGGCCAATAAGCTTCACCCAGACTTTATCTCCAACATCTACTATCTCAGAAGGCTTATCCACACGGCAGGATGACATGTGAGTTCGATGGACCAGACCTGGGCACAAGAAAAAGAAATAAAATAAAGCACAAGGTACGTCTGGTACTCTATGTCTAGATACTCTGAATAACAAAGTAACGGTAAGATGGCAGCTGGGTCCCTGGCTGGTGTGGCTCAGTGGGCTGAGCACTGGCCTCCAAACAAAAAGGTCTCCAGTTCAATTCCCAGGCAGGGAACCTGCCTGGGTTGTGGACCAGGTTCCCACTTGGGGGCACACAAGAGGAAAACTATAGATGCTTTTTTTTCACACATCAATATTTCTCTCTTTCTTCCTCCCTTCACCTCTCTCTGAAAAAAATAAATAAAATCTTAAAAAAAGAGAGAGAGAGAGATGGGAGTTGGGGATTCACTAAAAAAAGTTCATTGATTTAAAATTGCAAATTAAAACAATTTGAGATCACTTTTTATACATATTCAACTAACAAATATTCTCTAAAATTATGCTCAATATTAGTAAAATGTAATACAATAACTATACTTACATAATGTGGCAAAAATACAAATTGATAAAATTCTTTAAAGCAAAAGGCATAAAGATGTTACATTTATAATGCAAAAATATCATCCTTAAAATTTTTCCAAAAGAAAAACCTCACGAAAATGTATGGGCATATAAAAATACTTGCAGTATTATTACCTACAAATGTTAAAAATAAAAAAATCCTAATTAATTTTCAATAATTGAAAATAGCCCTGGCTGGTGTAGCTCAATGGATTGAGCACAGGCCTGCAAACCAGAGTATCGCAGTTCGATTCCCAGTCAGGGCACATGTGTGGGTTGCAGACACGTTCCCAGCAGGGGACACACTGGAGACAACCATACATTGATGTTTCTCTCCCTCTCTCCTTCCCTTCCCTCTAAAGATAAATAAATATTTAAAAGAAAAAGATAAAAAGAAAATAGCTTGGTAAACTACGGTAAATCTATCAAAAGCAAGAGTTAGCAGCTATTCAAATTAGTTACAGAAGACATTTATGATAGCTGTTAAATGAAAAAGGGAAATATAAACAAAGTACAATTTTTAATCTATTAAATTAGCAAAATGCTTAGGAAATAATAATGCCTGAAGTTAATGAGAATATAATAAAACAAGAAATACTGCTAAGGCTAGCATAAATTTTTAGAAATCATTTAGCAGAGGCTATCAAGAGTGACAAAATATTTAATAAAACTAATCTTAAAATAATTAAAATATAAGTTTTTAAATAACTTAATAATGACACAATCACATATTTACTACAGATGCTCTTTTCCTCTCTGCCCAAGGTCCTTTCCTAGGAGAACACCTTCATTACATTCTAAAGTCCATGTAACTTGGTTGGAGCTGACCTGACCCCCAACTGTGGGGCCATGACTCAGGTTTAGTTAGTCAAGGTATTTCACCCCGCTGGCTACAGTAATTGACTGGTTCATGGACAGACACAAGACACTAAATCAAAACATCTTTTTCAAGACTTCTGTCAGGATTGTGAACTACACAACGTTAGTAATGCCCATCTTTGCCACCAGGTGGTGAAAGTCAGCCAGAGGAAAGCAGAGAATATTGGTAAACAAGAGACAAATCCCTGAAGATGTAAATTAATTATTGATACAGCCCTGGTGGAAGCTCGATTTATCCTGCACTCCCCAACAAAATTAACAAAACATTTCTCAACTGTGCTTCTACTTTTGCACCAAGAGTTCTGGCTAATAATTAATTTGACATATAATCACTTCGGGGACTCTATCCTAAGAAAATAATCTTAAATGTAGGAAAAGCTATATGCATCTGGGAAAACTATCTACATCAAAATGTGCAATATATTTTTAAGAGAGAAATTACAAATAACCTAATATCCAACAACAGGGTAAGGATAAATAAACTGTAATATAGCCACTTGATGGCCCATTAAAAACAATGTTAAAAAATTACATTAAAACATCAGCGCCCTGGCTGGTGTAGCTCAGTAGATTGAATGCGGGCCTGCAAACCACACGATCATGGTTCGATTCCCAGTCAGGGCACATGCCTGGGTTAAGGCCAGTTCCCAGCAAGGGACTCACAAGAGGCAACCATAACATTGATATTTCTCTCCTTCCCTTCTTCTCTAAAAATAAATAAATAAAATTTTTAAAAATATATATATTAAAAAATTACATTAAAACATCAATAATTCAGTTTTAGTAAATATTTATTGAATGACTACTATGTGCCAGGCACTATGGGCAACTAGCATTTTTCCAGGTAAATAACAAAATACAATACAAAACTGTATAATGTGATTACAAATGCTTAAAGTAGATTTTTAAAATTACGAAGAAATGATCCAAAATGCTATTACCAATCCTTAAAGTAGGGCATAAAATTACAGGTTTTCTCTTTTATTTTCAATTTTTTAAAAAATATAGCTCACTTTCCTCATTGCCTTTTTTTAAAAAATGTTTTTAGATTGTACGTATTTGTTTTTAGAAAGAGGGGAAGGGAGAGAGGAACAGAGGGGGAGAAACATCACATCGATCCACTGCCTCTCCACCACCCCCAACCCAGGCATGTGCCCTGACTGGGAATCAAACTGTGACCCCTCAGTTACCATGGTTACTGGGCCTCACACATCTACTTCAGCGGATTCTTAAAGGTTGACGGCCTATCTGAATAACTCTGGTGCCTCCAAAGTGTTTTATATACCCCACATTTTTAATTTTAGACCATCACATAATCTCCAAATCAGGTGAATTTCAAGGAGCTGGGTTCCCCCCACCCCCACCCCCTTACGCTGTGATGATGACATGAGCAGACCGGCCTAACCAGAAAGTCTGGAGAGGAAATCCAGGTGTCCCCGGGGAAAGGGAAACCTTTCACTCGGACATTTTGGGCTGCAGTAGTCCTCTAATTCTCAAATCCACTTCTTTCTCCAATTGCTAATGGAAGTTGTGAAGGAAATTAATGTTGAACCTAATATACTTCTGAAAACATTTTTTTTCTTTCCTGCAACACAAGGTCTACTACTTATTGGAGCACCAAAAACAAAGAAATAATGGTCGTTACCATATTTTGTCCTCTAACCTGATCTCAAAGCAGATTATTTTTTGGTCTGGTCACCTCTCTTGGTCAGAGACTTCTCCAAGTATCGAATAGTTTAAAATTGGAAACAAAAGACTATGTGGTACAACATGTGAATGACAGAATGCCATTGCAATGTTTGTTAAAAGTATTTTAAAAATTGGAGAAATGTGTATGGTTCAATAAATATGAAAAGCTATAAAATGAATAGAGTATAATTTAAATCTCAATGTTTATGTACATATGCAACCATAAATGTTAACAGTGCCCATCTCTGTGTGGTAGTAATATCATACAATGATCGTTTTCTTTTGTATTTTTCTATAATAAGCATGCAATCGTAAAAATATTTTAAAAGCAAAATGTAAAATGACATACACTGTAATTGAAATTATATAAAACTATGTCTCATATGGACACAAAAGGAAATATCAAAATAATTATACTAGGGTATAGAATTTTTATAGTTGAGACATAAATAGCTTATTACCAAAAGGCCTTAGGGTGAATTAAACAAGGGAAATGGTCTAGCCCCTGGTTTTGAATGCAAATGTCAGGTACGCACTCACAAATCTAAGCCCACTGCTCAGAGGAACGGAGAGATAAATGCAGGAGCCTTCAGCACGCAGACGCTTATGTACTAAAATATATTAACCAGATCGCCAATTTAGTGATCGGTTCAGGGCTAGACACAATTCACCGACTCACTAACTTGTAATAGAGCCTATTCTTTTCTTATACCTGGAGGATTCCCAGTCTTTATCTAGGTAAACTACCCACTACCCCAGTATCAAATACCTGAAAAATCAGACTTGTGATCAGAAACCACTTCAACATGAAGTCAGAACAAAAGGGTGACAAATATTTTGAGATATTTTTCCAGAAAGTTTAATGGACTATCACTTCCTCATAAAAGAATCCATCTCTCTAGCTCCTGTCATCAGATTCATTTCTCCCTAATTAAGACAGACAGTCACAACTTCAGACTCTGGGGCTTTCTTCTACTATGCTGTGGGACGGCAACCCCACACCTGTTCATACAATCTCCTCCCACACTAACCATGAGCCATCGATTAGATGCCAGTCTCCTCAATTTCAATTGCATTCCAATCCCTTTTCCCTGTATTGACATCCAGAGTGTCCTGTTGAAGTCTGGAGTGCTCCCATCTCTTCAGCCACAATTTACAGGCAATCACCTAGTATATTTATAGCTAGGGCTAATCCTACACTCTGTATAGGGGATTTATCATCATTAGTTTCATTTTTCAGAAGACAGAATTGTTACCCACACACCCCAACAGCTGCATTAAGTGCATATGGTACAGGGCACCAAATATAACATTTGAGGTTCCCTCACTGCACTTGGTACCTCACTATAAACAATGTATCAACCCATTCATGTCATCTTCGAATCAACCAATCAACCCTGTGGTTCACACCAGGAAATAGACCAGAAATTGAGTAAGCTGCCCAGGGTCACAGCTGATAAAGAAAGAACTACAATTCAAACATGAGTCTGTCAGGTCTAAATCATTCTGATATCGCTCCATTTTTTATCACTATTCTATATTATCTTTTCAATGAAAAAAGGAGAAAGATTATCTCATCTACAAACAACAGGAAGGCATCTGATTCTGTTCTAGCATGTGCTCTAAACAAAACACTTGGCTTGTCATGCCACGTGGAAGGGAGAGCTTCAAGGCAGTTTGTGTCTGGATTTCTGACATTAAACCACAAATGCCCAAAGGGCATATCAAGTCCATCATCATGTTCAAAAAACCCAACATGACACTTAAACAGAATGAGTCCCATCTGAGTGTCTGCTGGTAAAAGAAAAAAAAATTCTGACAACTTGGAAAGGGCTAGCAACTCAATCACCATGCAAGAAACACAGAGTTAGCCTATTACACTACCATAAAATCAATGTCCCAACTGTGTTAGCTTTAACAAGTTCCT